GTCGTTGAAGCACACAAGCCCCACCGGTCCGTCAAACCGAGAATACATAGGTGGGGAAATTACCTTAGTTTATTACTTGTATATTGTCCTTGTAATAGTATTAAATCTTTAAATCTTTTAATGGTTTTTTGCGTTGAACTATTAAATTTGGCAAGTAATACCTTTTTTATTACAATTATAGGAAAAAAAATGAAACTATACACTTGTAATTAAATCATAAAAATATACGGTATTAACGAACCAGCTTTTTGTGTAGGAGTGATAACTCTGATATAAAGTTTGTTTGGTGAGAGATAGGACGACGGATTCTTACAGAAGACACCCAAAAATTGTCAGAATAAATAACTAACTTTTGAATTAAAATGGCAAACTATTGTCAATATTCTCTAGTTAGACAATTTTTACATATGAAATGTGTTCAAAAAGTTTTATGATGAAGCTTGCTCTATACATATTATGGCAATTAAACATATTATATATATATATATTAATCGGTTTAAAACGTTCTACGTCTTCCGATGCCATCTCTCCATGCCTGTCTGTTTCTCCATGCACCGTCTCCGAGAGATCTTTCCTCCATAAACGTGTCAATCCCTTCCTGCCAACTTCTTCTCGGTCTACCCGGTTTTCTTCTTCCTGCAGGTTTCCAGTTTATAATTTGCTTTGTGATTCTTATTTCTGCCATTCTTTGGACATGTCCGTACCATATGAGTTGACTGTTCTTTTATGTCGTCCACTATCGTATGTTTAACTTCCATAATCTCTCTTATGCGTTCATTAGTTATTCGCTCGAGTCTTGATTTGCCTGCTGATCTTCTCCAAAAAGCCATCTCTGTAGCTTCCAGCATTCGTTTTGTTGTTTCCTTAATTGGCCAGACTACACAGCTATACGTGGTTATACTCTTTATGATGGTATTGTATATTACAGTTTTGTTCTTGTTGTTTATGCTTCTGTCCCACAATATCCCATTCAATACCGTGATAGCATTCCAAGTTGGTTTCGTTCTTTAATTGCTGTATCCAATAGTCCATCATTTGTGATTTGCATATTTTTAATTATTATTATTAATTTTTTTTATTTATTTATTATTATTTTTAATTATTTATTATTAAACATATTATCTTACAGAAAATAACCTTGGAATTTTTTTTAACTGTTGAAGTCTAAGCTTGATTATAAGCATTTAACTTATATCCGTTCGTGTATCATCATCAGCTTATTCAGTCATTTCTAATTATGGTGTAACCATACTCTCTTTGTAGTTAGCCTATTGTTGTGTATTGTTGGCTATGCGGGCCCAAGTTATCCTGCTAATTTCCTAATAAATATGGTGGTTCATTTGTTGTCCGTTCTTCTTGCCAGGTATCCTGCCCATTGCCATTGTGTGGATCCGACTGACATCTATTACCTGTATCTTTTATCGTATTCACTCTATTCTTTTACGGTCTCTCTTGGTTATTCCCAGCATATTTCGTTCCACTGAACGTTGTGCGATCTGCAGTTTCCTTATGACATCCGTTTTAAGTGTCCAGGTTTCGCATGCATAGGTCATGACTGGTAGTACATATTGGTCGAATGTTTCCTTCTTTAAATAGAGTGGCATTCTAGATTTGAATATGATTGAGTTTCTTCCATAATTCCATCTTCAATGCTAATTTAATTCTTCTGTTGATTTAGTAGTTGGTAGTAGAGATCCCGAGCTGTGTATTATTGTCCCAAATATATTTATTAGAATCTCTTTTATTTTGTTTTTCTTGTATATTGAATTATAGTAACGCTTCTTTAAAATATGTAATTGAATATACCGTACGATTGAAAAAAACAATCTTTATCTTAGAGCCATTGCTGGCACCTTTTTTGTTCATATTGTACTTTAAAAGATAAATCTAGGTAATAGGTATTTTTGGGAGAATTTTTTTAATGAAACCAGTTAAATTCATCCCAATAATAACACAAATTTTTCAAAAATGTAAGCATCTGAATAAGTTTTCGTTTTGGAAACAAGCTAAAAAAGTAGTTAACAGCAATATCAAATATCAAAGGTTATCGATTATTTCTTTGTGGAATAATTAAACACCATCCCATCGGAAACCATCTATATCCGCAATTCACAATCTGATGAAAAATAGCACAAAAAATATGGTTTGGTTTGGAGAAAAAATGGTATGAATTCGGAAAATTGTTTTTGGCATGATCATAAAAAACCGAAACAAATCGTAGCAATTACAGCCGCCATAAAGTTTGCAACATCTGGAATATTTTTTCTATTACTGATTTTTCGAAAAAAATATTTTAACTATATCAAATCAATTCCTTAGCCTTACTAACATAAAATGCATAGCATTATTTTTCATATATCTTAACGGAAATGTAACATTCTATAGATACTTGATAATTGAAGTTAGATGATGAAACATTGAAAAGTATTAAACGTTTTTTTAGAAATTGATTTTATATTGTAAATTTTCAAAAATATAGTTTCCGTCTAATGGTCTAAGACACTTGAATAAGATTCTCAGAACTTACGACCGAGAAAAATCAAATATTTTCCTTCATTTAGGTAAGAACAATCTCGGATTTTCAAGGGGTTTCTAACAGGACATTATCTGCTCAACGAACACCTCAGTAAACGACAACCATCCGTGTCATAAACTTTGGTATGGCTGATGGATTATTTTCTTCACTAAGAGTGAAAATGATAAAATTATAAAAAGAAAACAATAAACATTAAGCTAAAAACTAAAACAATGCGCCGAAATCTACTTTCAAGTAATAAATTTTGATAAAGACCCTACCATGTCGAAACGTCAATGTAACTTATAAAAAAAAACGTTTTTCTCTTTGTTTACCTGACCTAAAGCCAAGAAAAAATTAGATAAAATATATATTGAGAGGTCAAAGAAAAGAATCAAAAAAACATTAACTATAGTTATATATAGTTAAATCCTTGTTTATATATTAATAGTTAGTCAATGTGCCTGTATAAGTCGATGCTGCCAACTGGTGGCAGAAATTAAAACGTAAAAAGGGGCGGAGATTATTGAATTTGGCAAAGAAGTAGGGACTAGGAATTCTTCGAATTTAATTCTCGGTAAAGAATAAAATATCTTATTTGCTTCGAACCGAATTTTTACCTCAAAGCGTTATTTACATTTTTTATTTTTGGATATGGATTTATATTTATTTTGATTTTCATGGCCCCTTGTTAAATACTAAATTATTATATTAAGTATATATATATATATATATTTTATTTCTAGATGGCTGTGATATGTCTGACGTTACTTCAACATAGCTGTCTAATTAGTCCAACTTTAACAACTAGTTATCAATTTGTGTCAGTTAAAACAAAAAAATCACAGATTTAGACGTTGCATCGGCCCAACGCCGATTTATACGGTCGGCCGACATACGGTTCGACTGTCGGCCGGGCGGTCATATACGGTCCGGGCCAGTACTTTTTTTTGGGGTCGGTCCAGTGCCTGTTCTCCGGCAATGCGGCATTTGTTTGATGCTGGCCCGTAAGAAATGTGTTTGTTGGGTGTTCACAAAACTCGACCATCTATTGTCGACAACACTTTTAAAATGAAAAGATCTTTTTGAAAAAACAATCATTTTATGTAGTTAACAGTTATGCTAATTATGTCATAATTATAGGTGTATATCTAGTTTTAATTCTGTTATAATTAAAATATGTTTTAAACGTGTATCTTTTTATTATTTTTGAGTATTTTACTCTACAGTCTTTAATTTTTGTTAAATTAACAAAAGGTATATCAAACAGCCACCTAGATTTCTTCAAATAATAAAGATCAACTGACGCAAAATCATAAAAATTAAAGTATCTAGAAAAATCTTTGTCGGAGAGGTAGGCAACCTTAATAATATTTTGAAGATATATAAATTCCCCATTAATACTAGGTGTTCCATTTAAAATAAAAGAGTAACTTACTTTCAAAAGTGACTAATGTTCCATATTAATTTTGTCTCACTCTGTATAAGTTTTTGGATCAAATTTCAATTTGGTTTAACATACAATGGTTACTGTAATTAAATATCAGTCTATACAAGGTCAACTAAAATTTAGGTAGCTATTATCGAAATTTAACATTTACTCTTCATTTTCACAAAATGTGAAATATGTCAAAATCCTTAGATTTTAAGTATATGCTTCTTTATTAAAACTCACTTTTATTTTTCTCCTAGAATCCGAAAATCTATTAATATATAGGGTGTTCCATTAGAAAAAACACAACTGTGCTGTGTAACTTTTTTTGGGGACACCCTGTATCATTCTATATATTTTTATAAAATGCTTTCAGTTAACCTACATATGCTGCCAAAATTTTATTTCTATATAAACTACCGTTCTCCTTGGAGCTTCTGTGGCGTATGAGAGGCGCCACCCGGTATACTCTATTTCATTAGCCAATATAGCACAAGTTATTCGTTATACCTAGACGTATTGTAATTGCATGGTCCAGGGGGAAATACAGGGGAAGAACTTAATAACTGCCAGCGCTCCTGTAAAATTAGTAAAATGGTACTTATCATGTTTTTCCCCTGGGCTCTTCAATTTTAATTGGGCGCTTCAAAGACATCTAAATATAGGTAGACAGAACACTCCATTCATAAAACTCAATTTTTTAGAATCATACATGGTTTGACACTTTTATGAGAGTTAAAAAGAGATGGGTACATAAATATGACAACACGGTTGAGTTTCGTCTATCTTTCTGTCATTTCGCTCCATCAGTGGCGTGACGGTGGTGTGGTGTTTTTTATCCAAAATTGTAAAAAAAGTTATTTTGTGTATTTTAATTTAAATTTTAATTTGTAATATACGTGGTAATATCGATAATATACAATGTAGGGGCGTTTGCACCAAGTTTTTTAAGCAAAACTTAACATTATGTTTAGCTTATTTTCTTGAACCATGCTTTAATCTAACTTGAATTTATATTTAAATTAAGCGGTCAAATTTCCAGGCTAGTGGCCACTTAACCTAAGGCACCAAAAATTTGTTTTACGAGGAAGTATAATTATTTTTATTATATTCCTTTGAGAAAGCTAAAAAGTGTATTATGATACCTCTACGTAAGTTCGATGATTACTTTTGATATCTTAGAGACGTCGATCAGTAGGTATATTCATTGAAAATGGATTTCCTCAAGAGTGGATGTAAGGAAAAATCATATTTCCAAGAAATGAACCTCCTTAAGTCTTTAGGACAGAGACTTTTAAATGACACTGTAATATATATCCTCGGTTTAATTGAACAAAATCTAGAATATCAATATGAGAGGTAAGTTGGAATTCTAGTAAATCTAATGTAAGATAAATTAATTATATTTATACTTTGAACCATCTTTCTTTACTATTTCCAGAAACAACAGCAAAAGTGTTTTAAATCAACTCTTGTGTATATTAAGATTCTACACTTCAGGGGCTATGTCCAGTCTACAGCTTTTTTTATGGGCATGTATGTTTGTTTCTACCACTTCTCGTATTATGTTACAAAAGTATCCCATGAACTTCCACTGCTTTACCCTCAGTTCATAAAAATGCCTGAATAAGAAACTCTAGTTTTAGAGCAGGAACAATTTTATAGTATATTTGGGTTTCCTTGGATTATAGGGATAGTTGATGGAACACAATGTAAGAAAACATTCACCTGGTAAGTACCTATATGTTATATTTTCTTCAATATTTATCAGCACAAGATTTCTTATACTTTACAGGGGGTAATGATGGAGAGGTATTTAGAAATAGAAAAGCATTATTTTCCCCAACATTTAAATTACTGGAAATGCTAGTCTTAAAACCATAGACAATAGACATGATTGCTTGTTGGCATGGGTCTGTGCATGAAGCCACCATTTTTTGGATATTAAGGACGTATTAAGGACCCGCTTGGAGACTGGTGACTTTTCAAATTAAATCCTGCTTGGTTAGTGGTCCATATATTTACTTATTGTTAGATCATTTATATAAAATATATTCCTTAAATATTTGAGTAGGTATTCAATTTAGAAATATATTACGAATAAGATGAATTGAAAGAAATTTTTTAAAATTAAATGTGAAAATATTCAAAGGGTTCATATACTCTATTAAATTATTTTATTATCTGTTATAAGGTGATAGTGCATATGCATTGAGGGGATATATGCAGAAAGAGAGCTGAAGAACTGTATTACTGAAGAAATGTTTCAGAATTATCGGAATATGGAAACGCCACTTTCCAATATGTTTTATGGTATAAGACCAAAATTGCAAACCACAATGTCAGTTATTGTTGCACAACAGTGAGTTAAGAAAAATATTATCTGTTTAATTATAGAACACAATTTAAAAATTTTAATGTATGTACTTAAATTTTTAGATTTTGTTGTTTCAATGTGCTACACAATACAGCCAGAATGATACCTGAACAAGAGCTGCCGCCGTTAGATGAAATAAATATGGACCAAATTAATAAGAAGAGAAATAATAAATTATTTTGAAAGATTAGGGCAATATTTTTTTAACTTATTCTAAACATGTTTTTATGTTGCTAATGTTGCTGTTGTTTTTTTGTTTTTGAGTATTAATTTCTATAAAATATCATTATTAAATGTCTTTTATTCAGAAATAACATACATTACAGTTTTTACATTACAATATAAACAATAATTAAAATTATTAAATAAGTTCTCTTTAAGAACTTCACTGTTCTTTTTTTATTTCAATGTCTACAAGCAACCCTTTTTTTCTTTAGCTTATGTTCTTCTCTGTTTTGAATACTACTACTTTGAATTTTGCCCATCTCCATATTACAAAAGAACAGCCTTTTGTCTAGTAAATTACTATCTTCCCTTTTCTTCAGTTTCTTTGTAACCATCAGTATTGTTTTGAGACTGAAAAAATATCTAATTATATTGAATTCTCTTAAAAGTAATAAAAAATTCAAAAACACAATGAAAGGTTAGTACTTACAATACCAGTACTCCTATTAGTTTTAGACAATCTATCACCATCGTATGTTTTTTAATCCCACAATGCTCTTCTCATTTTTACATTAATTGAATATATTATTATCTTCCGTTTTTGTTTTTTATATATGTAGACCTCCACCAGTTAGTTAAAATATATTTTAATAATTGCCTTTCTTTTACATAGATTTAAACATATGTTGTAAGCTGTTTTTCTTTGCGACTCTATGATTGGCCTTTCTTTTAAAGTAAGTCCAATAATATACAATTAAATTATTTCAAAATTATTAAAAAGTATGTTGTTCTTATATTTTGATAATTTTTTATATGAATATTTTGTAAATCCATTCTGAGAGTTAAAAATATCAAAAATATTGGGCCAGTTTATGTATCCCTTATAAAATTCTGTTTTCGGTGAATAAAATTACAATGTTAAAGCAAAGGATAGTAGCAGAGGATTGGATTTTTGTGTGGCAGGTCCTTTTAACATTCTTTCAAAAATACTTTGTGCTGGCCCATCTAGGGAAGCCTAAAAAAACATATATTATCTCTGTTAATATTATATCTCTATAATATTATTATTAGTCTTTTTTAGACACATCCAAATTCACTAAAGTGTTTTAAAATTTAGACCTGGCCTTGTCATGGAAATTAGAACCTTCCATTAATCGTATTTATGCCACTGTCATATGGATTAGTATATCATTTACAAAATTAAACCAGAACTAAATTTAAAACTTTTTAATGAATCTTGGCAGATTTTGGCATAATGGCTTTAGGACTAAATTAATAAATGGCTGATAACTTTACATTATTAGAGTTCCCCTCCGCCACTCAGATATATACATATATAGTGCGTCCAAGATAACAATTATAAGCATTGAAATCTCAGAAAGGTAAGAGATACAGGGTCAATTAGAAATTGCTTTTAGCGATTTTTGTTTTTTTGGATCTTCACATAATAACCATTATGTTTTTAAAATGTTACCCTGCATACCTATATTTATACCTTTATGGTCAATTCAGATGATTCACTTATCAAAGATTTTTCTTTTAAGTAATCAATTAATTGATGCATTGATGTTATTTTATTTTTCAATCTTCTTAGACCCATTTGTAAAGTATGTATTTTTCATTTTCTTTGTTCCCAAATTTTTATGAGACTTAAATTTCTACATAATATCATTATTATACCTCATTAACATACTTCTTTCTGAAATTAAATATCTTTTGCACAATTTTACTTGAGATACAGGGTGGCGCCTCTCATATGCTACCAAGGAGTACGACAGTTTGTATTGAAATTAAATTTTGGGGGCATATGTAGGTTAATTTAGAGAATTTAAACATATAAATGTATAAAATATGTGCTTTTTAAAAATAGAGAGTTCTACAGGGTGTCGCCAAAAAAGTTACACAACAAAGTTTTGTTTTTTTGTAATGTAATTTGTTTTTTTTGCAAAGTTTTGTTTTTGTAATATTTGATTTTTGGATTCTATGAGAAAAATAAAGGTGGATTTCATTATTGGACTAAAATGTAAGGTTTTTAACATATTTAAAATTTTGTACTTGAAATCAGATTACAACAGGACTCAAACAGTTATACAGGGGTGACAAAATTAATATTGAATATTGACCACTTTTAAAAGCAAGTTTCTCTTTTATTTCAAATGGAACATGCAGAATACTATTCTGATCTTTTAATTGTAGTGTGCATTCATCAATTAATAGAATGCTTAAATGTCAAATGTATGAGTTCACAATGTGTAAAGTACCATTTAGGTAGCTGTTACTGAAATTTAAAGTTTATTCATTATTTTCACCAAATGTGATATGACAAGCCTTACATTTTAGTATTTTAGACATATGCTTCTTTAATGAAACTCACCTTTATTTCTTTCCTAGAATCCGAAAATCAATTATGTAATTTATAGGGTGTTCCATTACAAAAAAAAAAAAAACTTTGATGCGTAACTTTTTCTGGGGACACCCACAGAACTCTTGATATTTCTGTAAAACGCTTTCTATTATCCTTCATATGCTTCCAAAATTACATTTCAATATAAACCACTATTCTCTTTGGAGCCTCCGCGTCGTATGAGAAGCGCCACCCTGTATATAATGTACAGATAATTTTTACCTTTTTCTGATAGGACTTCTTGAGCCAATAAATATCCAACTATTGAAAGATCAGAAAATGAGAATTATCTTACTATGCTGTAAACAAAAAAACATTAATTACTTAATTTTTCAATAAAAATAACTATATTTTTTGTTCTTTAAATTTTTCGTAAATACTAATAATTTCCTTCTAATGGTATTATTAAATTTATCATGGGAAGTTTAAACAAGAAGGTTTTCTAGTGCAAAGAGCAAAAGCTCATGCATATAAAATATATGTATGTAAACAATATTAAAATACATGTATAAAATATATTTTATCAATGTTCTTACAAATTTGAGGGGCCAGCCAAGGAACAAGCCAAACTGCCAGTCCCTCAGCTGGTCTGGAGGCTCATTTAGGTAAAATATTTTTTGGGTGGAGTGCGAACTAGAAGAAAACCTAGCCTAAATAATACTAATATTGTTACAATACTTTTTAACTGATAAAATGTATTTCACTGCTTTTTACCTGCATGATAAGGCCCCAGCAAAAACGGTAGTATCTATTTGAGGCTCAGCATTTGGTCTTATTTGCCTTCAACAAGTTTATTCGGTGATCATAATATCGCTCTTATCAAACTTATCAGAACAAATTTGATTGCACACTTTTGATTGATTTTCCAAATTCTAGAGTGAAATGCTTCGCTGTCTACGCTCAGTATTTACAGTAAAGCTACAAAAATACTATTGGTTACATATGCAACACATACATAATATATATAAAGTATAATAAACCTATTTGATAAAATATGTAAAATAAAAATATGTGGTAAAAAAGGCAAAATTAACCTAAACGAAAAAGCTAGGTTTATACATATATATAAGTAGTTATTTTATTCTTTTTTTAATTTGAGTGTAGGACAGACTTATATCTTTATAATAAATAAATAATAGATCAATCTTACCTATAATATATGTTACGGTTAATATCTAAAACCTGCTAATAATAACTAGAGCTCAAATATACCATGTAGATCGTAAAAACAGTTTTCTTTCAACATTAGGGGAAGAATTACACAATAGCTAAAGTCTGAAGCTCTGGTCTGAAGTAATTGTAAAAATGGTGATGGTACCTTTTATGTACGCCGCCAATCTTAAAGTTATTGATGTAAATTTGATTGATATTCTACAAATAATGTATTAACTGTTTAAGTACGGATACTCGGCTAAATGTTTGAGATCACTTCATTATTTATTTTTAGACAAAATTTGAGGTTAGAATATACCTTTTGCTCGCGTCTGCGCGTATGGCTGGCGGTAACAATGAAATATTGAAAATCTGGATTTTATTTTATTTATATTTTCCTATTAATTTTGAAAAATAGCGATAGCAATTTTGATATTCAAATTTCAGGTATTAACTACCTATAATAGCTGTTTTATTGGTACAGATATTAGCCATAACATCCACAATTTTTAAAACATTTATAGCGGTTTCGAATGTGTGTGTAATTCTAATTTCACAATCGAAAACGCTATCTAATAACAAAATATACGCATTTTTGTAATAATCTACGTATAGTTCTAAATAGTAGAGACGCCACTGTTAAAGCTAGAAAGACGTAATGTTACTTACCGCCGAAATATCAATCTAGGGGTAGAATAATCCACCTTTTACAAATTATGCACTTGCGAACCACCGTAGATAGTTAAAATACTACTTTGAATAGTTTTCTTCGCAAAAAACGCAATAATTGCTTGAAAACCTGTTAAAAACCAAAAATTCACAACCGCAAAGGAAATCTCGCAACAACGGCCTGTAAAACATTTGATGAATGAAACCGTCAAAATCAGCGTAATTCCTACAGATTCCTACAATTTGTAGTAAAATCTCAACCACAACGATGCCAAGCGTTGCCACAGTAATTTCCCTAATATATTTTGATATAATAATTTAAACAGAAAAAGTAATTTCTAAAAAATAATTTCAAAGGTATAATCTATGTATTTTAATTAAAATTATATACCTACACAAATATTTAGTTTAACGTATCTATCGTACCCAAAAAACATTAATAAGAATAATAACATTTTTAACAACAATACTACAATCTATAGGCGCAAGGGAAATCTGTCATCATCGATTTTTGTGCAACACGGTTCGTGATCGCGGTAAAATGTAAGTTGTTTTGTCTCCCTTTATTTAGATGTCTTTGGGGCGCTTGCTCATTATTTACAGCCAATTTTTTTCCGTTTGACCTACCATGTTTCGATAATGGTCCAAAATACACACGACACCGTTCATATTCGGTTAGTTCGGCAAAACCTCGCACTCAATATTAATGCCGGTCACCGATCACCTGACGTACCGTTACTAGAGTACTTGTTTACAAATTTTACCTACATTACTGTCGATTTGTAATGGACCGCAAT